TATTATTTTTATATAGATATTTGCTTACAATTACCTACACGCAGGGCTGGCTACATAATTTTCAGGACCCAGTACAAAATGAAAATGTGGGGCTCTTGTTCAAAAAGCTACAAAGAAGCTTTGTCCCTGCCTTCACAGTCTCTCTTTCAATCTGACATGGTGTTTTCTTGATGACTATTGAATGTTGTGCTCCCATGGTCATGGGGAAATCGTGGAGTGGATGCAGGCTTTCATAAGCACCCTGTGCCCAGGGTGGCCAACCCCCACTCTCCCCATACCAGTGCCTCAGCCTGGGCCCACACTCAAAGCAGAGGAAGGCAGCAGATTCTGGGCAAAGGCTGAGGAGCAGGGGCTGGAGAACCATCCCGGAGAGGCAGGGAGGTGGCAGGAGGTAGAACTATATGTGAGCCAAAGCTCCATGACCTTGGTACATGCTCAGTTGTCCCATCAGACCTCACATAAAACACAAATTTAAAGGTAAAATTATTAAGAATTTCTTGAGAGTGACCATAAAGCATTAAATCCAAAGCACAGGACCCCCTTCTGAAATTGGGCCCTGTACAACCGTCTTGATCACGTGCCCAAGAAGTCTTCCTTGCATCTGAGTTTGCCAGTTTCTTTGCTTACCATCTCTTCTTGCATACCTCACCTTCCTTCTGAGATCTTATCTCTTCCTGTAAAGCATATTCTTTAGAAGGTTCTTTAGTTAAAGGTCCTTTAGCTGGTAGTAAACCCTCCAATTTTGTCTGAGCATATTTTATTTCAGTCTCATTCTGAAAGATAGCTTTGCTGGGTACCCAACTTTAGTTGGTGGTTCTTTTCTCATAAGATTTTGAACATATTATTTTGCTGTCTGACTTCCTTTGTTTGTGTTGGAGAATGGGCTCCTTTGAAGATAATGGATTTTTTTTCTCTTGCTTCTTTTAAGATCTCTTTAACTTTGATATTCTTCAAGTGCACTACCAGATGCCCAGATGGGAGATTTATTTTTATTTATCTTGCTTGGAATCCATTGAGTTTCCTAGATTTGTGTGTTAGTGTTTTTCATCAATCTGGAATATTCCCCTCAAAAATTGCTTCTTCCCCCTTTTCTCTCTGAATAATGAATAGATATATATTAGATCTTTCACTCTATCCACCATATATCAACTTCTCTTTTATATTTTCCACTTCCTGTACTGCACTCTATATAATTTCTTTAAATCTCCCTTTTAGTGTATTACTTCATTTTTTTTTTTTTAATTTTTTTTTTTTTCAACGTTTATTTATTTTTGGGACAGAGAGAGACAGAGCATGAACAGGGGAGGGGCAGAGAGAGAGGGAGACACAGAATCGGAAACAGGCTCCAGGCTCTGAGCCATCAGCCCAGAGCCCGACGCGGGGCTCGAACTCACGGACCGCAAGATCGTGACCTGGCTGAAGTCGGACGCTTAACCGACTGCGCCACCCAGGCGCCCCTCATTTTTTTAGCTGTGAATAATCTGCTACAGGACCATGCACTGTTTTTCATTTTGATTATTATATTTTTAATTTCTTCAAGTTGGATTGGGTTCTTTTTCATATTTCATTAGTCATTTAAATCAATCCTTTATTTCTTTGAACATCTGATTTTATATTCTGTATCTGAAAATTCAAAACTTTAGAAAGTAGGAGTTTAATTATGCTGTCATTATGTCTTACTCTTTCTCTTACTGGCTTTTTTTTTTCTTTTACAGTTTTGTGATTTTTTTATAAATTTACATTTATTTATTTATTTATTTTTGAGAGACAGAGGGAGACAGAGCACAAGCAGGGGAGGGGCAGAGAGAGAGGAGACACAGAATCTGAAGCAGACTCCAGGCTCTGAGTTATCATCACAGAGCCTGACGTGGGGCTCGAACTCACATACTGTGAGATCATGACCTGAGCTGAAGTCAGACGCTTAACCGACGGAGCCACCCAGGCGCCCCTTGTGATTTTTTTAAAAAAATTATGATCTCATAGATTTTGACTCTTTATCTGTAGAAAATCTTTGAGTCCCAGATTGAAGATAGATTGCTCCTGAAAATATCAGTGTTTTTCCTACCTGTTTTTCCTACCAGGCATCTGGAGGCAAAGTTAACCTATTACCACTATAAAATATCTTTTCAACGTGAAGCTCTTTGAGCCACTCAGGTAGTATGAATTCACAATACAAACCTGCATTAGGGTTAGTTTGTGTTTACAGATTCTTGTGAGAGATATGTATCTTTCCCTCTACCTAGCACCCATATTCAAAACCAGTAATTTTCCTTTTGTACCTTGAGAGATGTTATTTGAATTTTACACATGCTAGGTGTGAATTTCACACATATGTTACACATGCAGCTCTTTGAGATGCAGCTTTATGCAGGTGAGTTTACTGGTAGACTCTTCTCTCTTGAGCCCTTCATGGCTGTGAAATTTAAAGCTCAAGTTCATCAGATTTGGAAAGTACCTTCAAGGTGAGACTTGCTTTCAATGCTCTACTTATAGTTGGGGGTTCTTCCTTTTGCTTCACTTTTTTAAGGTTTAGTTTGGAATAGTTTTATATTTATATAAAAGTTACAAAGACAGTACAGAGAGGGTTTATGTTTCTCCTTGGCCCATTTTTTATAACCATGACACATCTGTAAAAACTAAGAAACTAACATTGGTGTAATACATTTAGCTAATTGTTGATAATTAACTAAACTACAGTTTATTCATATTTCAATAGGTTTCTACTCATATCCTTCTGTTCTTTCACTTGAGTTTTGTTCTCCACATCCTTCCCACATTTTGTCCGGCTCACTGATGAATTTAAAGATTTTTTCAGAAGTTAAAAAATGTTTAATTGGGCGCCTGGGTGGCTCAGTCGGTTAAGCATCTGACTTCAGCTCAGGTCATGATCTCACAGTTGTGAGTTTGAGTCCTGCATCGGGTGAGCTTGGGCCCTGCTTCAGGTGGACACAAGCCCCACTTTGGGTGAGCATGAGCCCTGTTTCAGGAAAAAAAAAAACCATGAGCCCCATTTTGGGTGAACCCCGCTTCTCTCTCTCTCTCTCTCCCCCCTGCTTTCCATGCCCCTTGTGGGAGTCTCCCTCTGCCTCTCATGGGATTCTCTCTCTGCCCCCTCACCCACTTGTGCCCCCCACCTCAAAAAATGTTTACTTATTTTAAGTAGGAAGGTTGTCAAGGTACCTAGTCCAACATACTTCTGGAAAGAGAAGTCTGGGAGCTTTTTTTTTTTTTTTCAATCTGCTTCCCTTAAATGATACTCATTATCCTGGTTACCAAGTCAAACATGTCTTCTTATGCTTGTGTCCTTAAAATTTTCTAGCCTAGAAATGTAGGCACTATTTTTATTATGGTAAAAAACATGTGATAATATTGTAAGAGTGAGACTAGAAAAGAAAACAAGACATAGATTGAAGGTCTGTAATAATACTATAGGTGAGAGATAAAGTCAAGAACCTTAACAAGGCAGTTGTTGGTGGGAAAGAAAGAGAGGAAATAGTTTGAGGTGCACTCAGGAAGTAAAATATAGAATTTGGTCTTGAATGGAGGTAGTAGAACATGGAGAAGCAAGAGTCAGAGAGAACTCAGAGATTTCAAACAAAGATTTGGACTCCTGAAGATTTTCAGAAGTCAAAAAGAAAAGCAAGATTGCAGCAGGTGATGGTGAATTTGTTTTTTGATGTATATGGTTGTTAATGGATCATTAGTGTGGCGATGTCCAACAGGTAGTAATAAATGAAAGTCACAGTTTTGAGAAAGGAGTCAGAACTAAAAGGAACAGGGTGATGATGGAAAACAAAGAGATTAGAAAGAGGAATAAGCAATGGAGAAGAATCATCTGTATGGAAACTAAGGAAGGTCATGATTCTAGAAAAGGGAAGGAACCCTAATCAACAGGTGCAGTTTTGCCACTAGTGATATCCAAAGACTTAATTTCAGTGCCCCTCCCTGTGAAATGCTCTTATGGGGCACCTGGGTGGCTCAGTCAGTTAAGCGTCCGACTTCGGCTCAGGTCATGGTCTCATGGTTCCTGGGTTTGAGCCCCACATCAGGCTTTGTGCTGACAGCTCAGAGCCTGGAGCCTGCTTCCAGTTCTGTGTCTCCCTCTCTCTCTGCCTCTCCTCTGTTCATACTCTGTCTCTTTCTCAAGAATAAACATTAAAAAAAAAAAAAGCTCTTATGAATCTTTTGCTCTTACCTCCACCCAGAGGATTATGAACTAAGCTTTAAGATCCATTCATATGGGGGCGCCTAGGTGGCTCAGTTGGTTAAGTGTACGACTCTTGGTTTCCACTTGGGTTATGATCTCATGGTTCATGGGTTCAGTCCCCACGTTGGGCTTTGTGCTGACAGCATGGAGCCTGCTTGGGATTCTCTGTCTCCCTCTCTCTCTGCCACCTTCTCTGCTTGCTCACTCTCTCTCTAATAATTTTTTTTAAAAAAGGTCCATTTATATGGATTAAAATATTAAAATGTTTTTTGTTTCCAATTTTCTAATATGTTTTGTACTATACCATTTCTCAAACACTACCCTCTCCTTAATTTGGTTTGTTCCTATCAGTACTTGAGACAGGTAAAAGAAAAATAAATCTAGCAAGAACTACCAATATGTGTTGATTTTATGGCATATCCCAACATATTTTCTTTTCTTAAGGAAACAAAATATCGTTTAGTGTTAGAATTTAGTGGTAAACTTTGGAACCATGATGTGTGATGTTTTATTATATTTATGACTCCACATATGTTGTTACTATTTCATGCAAAAATAATAACATAACTTATTAAGCAAAAATTAGGAGAAAAATACTGATGAAATACTTACCTTGTATGCAGTGTTTGTAAATTTCTGTGAATGGTTAAAATATTATCTAATGGTAGTATTTATAATTGTTAAAGAGAATAAACAGACTAAGTTGTGAAATAGTATTTCTGAGCCAGGAACTGCAATTTAGGAAGAGTGTCAGGGTGAGTCTTGATTCATTTGTTGGGTTTATGGTTTTCAGGGAATTAATGCTGATTTCACATCAGAAAAGCATCGAGCAGCTGCAGGAAACCCTTAGACAGAAGCTGCTGAATGATGACAACTGGAGAGAGAAGGTAACAATAATGTAACTTTCATCAGCATGTGTCTTATTTGCTTTTTCAAAATTCTGTTTGCCCGGAGACTATTCCGGATATCTTTGCTTCTATGCACATTTTGATTCCTTCTGGAATTTCCTAGGCCAAACATACTTATAATGTGTGTCTTTTCCATAATACTAGACAACATAATAGGAAATAAAAAGGTAAGAACAGAATTTTAAAACTTGTAAAATTAAGATGGCCCCTAGTTCTCATGTAAAAGTTTAATTTTTATTTTCAAATATTTTACCTTTTTCCTGTAAAGTGACAGAATCTGCCTTTGACCACATCCTTAAAAGCAGGGGAATATTAATTCATTCTTGTAATTTCTCTGCTTTTAAGAAGATAATGTAAGAGAATGGAAAATGACAAGATTACTCAGTTATGAACTTTTGGCAAAGTAAAAGGAAAGTATTTAGCTCACTCTTTATAAGGAAAATATTTTCTCTTAGAGGATTGAAAAATGCATTGATTTTTGGCTTTGGACTTCTCTAAATTTTTCAAAGTTTCAGTAATAAGTATGTATTACTTTAATAATTTTAAGGAATTCAAATAATATTCTAAAAATTGTTGGTCCCTATCTTCTCAGGCCATGTACAACTCTAGTCATTGAGACTATAACCATGATCTCCCTGTCATAAACTTCTGATACTCCTTGATTGATCCCTGGACCTTATCCTGAACAATGTCCTGAAGGCTTTCCAACTCTTTCTCTTGCCCAACTGATACCTATCCCTAGCACTAGCCTTCATCCTTGGTTTTTTGATACCATTATAAATTTGCATCTAGTACTAGAGCTAGCTACTGAAATTCAGATTGCTTGACTTAAGCCCCGACAACCTGTTTGGTTATATCAGATTCTTCTCCTTGGTGACCAGACCCTATAACTTGTAACTTCAAGCAATAAGCAGTGACTACATTCAAACTAACATCTCCACCTGGACTCTTCACTCTACCATCCACCAAACTTAGACCCTTTAGATATCATTGCTGGCTCAGATGAGATCTAAATTTTTCACTTTCATTTCCAGTATTTACTCAGTTGGCCATACACAGGCATTACTGGCCCTCTACATATGAATCTCACTTCCCTTGTCCCTCAGGGATAGCACACTCAGGCTGTAAGAGAAATGATCACTAGAACAACAGCTCCATAGAGGCAACAATTAAAACTTAAGAATGGACTAATGGTTGCTCTAAGTGGCTCATTCTTATTTTGAAGTATGGGCTTTTTCTTTTCCATCTCCTAAAGCCCACATTTTTTGAATTTTTATTAGTCTTGGGGTACTCAATTGGCTCTTCTTAGTCACTTCCTCTATCCTTACCAACCCATGTTTAAAAATACAAAAAAGATGATTAACCTAACCAGCAATCCAAAAAAGGCAAATTAAAACAATGAGAGATTTTTTTTTACCCATCCAGTTGACAGAGTGGTTTTGGCATTGTGGCAAAGTCTAGTAAGGTAATCTTTCATACTCACTGTTCAACGGGCTGAAAGTTACAGCAACCCTTTGGGAGCAATTTGGCAGTATGTATGAAGAGATATTGTAAACATCTCATCTTTTGATGCAGAACTTTCACTGACGGAATTAGTGTGAATAGAGATTCACAGATTCTTCCCTTCCCTCAAATGCCTGAGCTCCTCTTAGACCGATAGAGTGAACCTTCCAGCCTTTGCTTGTATAGAAGTTCTTTTTATCTCCTTGGTCACACCCCTGAAGGACTTTCAAATACAATATACTGTAGAAGTCTCTGCATTTATGATCTCTTCTTATACTGCTTCTTACTGTACCCTGTCCATGAGGTGCTAACACAAGTAGACCAAATTAGTGTTAGCATCTGATCATATAAAAAAGTATTATGATCTTGCTTCATGCTGTTAATTTGATGATGCAAATAAACCTATGTAAGATTTTCTAAGTTCCTACTGAGACCATGATATCATTCTCATAAATTAATTGTATCATAGACATATTTTGGCATGTATAATTTTCTATGATATAAATGGGCATTTCATTTTGTTGAGAGGACATGACTTCTTATTAATAAATCTTATAATTTAGCTTGGCAGTAAATCCAGATCCAGACCAGTAAAGCCAAGGAATGATAATTAGGTCTTGGCTGTGTTAGTTATTGAGACTATGAATAAAAAGTTCCCTAAAAGTCCTCTCATGAGAAAGGAGAATCACTACTATGACACTGTCATCTCTTTCTTGGGTCACTGTGCCTTTGTGTAGGAATGAAATGTTCCCTTTACAAATATATAATACACATATTAGAATAAACTTCATAACTCAAGTGCTTTTGGCATTCAAAAAGAGTAGATAGCAATTTGTGCCTCTGCTTAATTATTTTAGAGTATGTAAAAAGCACATAATAGAATCAATAGTTGCTATGCAACAAAGATGGCACATTTTAAAATAACTGTATATTTACCAATTGCCATAGATTTTTGTTTATTTCAAGTATTCTTTGATGTGAAGAAAATAAATTATTGTGTATGGTGAACATTTAAAATTGGTTCCAAGTTAACAGTGTTGTTACGTTTCAGTTAAAACTTTTGTAATTAAGAAATTTCCTATAGCCAGAGTGCTGACATTAAGTGATAGTCATGTATTGACTATTACTTTGTAGTGCAATAAACAAATTCCAACCAAATATTTTCTTAGATTATTACTAAGATATCATCACATTTAGGAACATTTTAGAATTGTATTACCATTGACCTCATTTTAAATAGTACATAAAGCATTTAAAACCCAATATTTGGGGCGCCTGGGTGGCGCAGTCGGTTAAGCGTCCGACTTCAACCAGGTCATGATCTCGCGGTCCGTGAGTTCGAGCCCCGCGTCAGGCTCTGGGCTGATGGCTCAGAGCCTGGAGCCTGTTTCCGATTTTGTGTCTCCCTCTCTCTCTGACCCTCCTCCGTTCATGCTCTGTCTCTCTCTGTCCCAAAAATAAATAAACGTTGGAAAAAAAAATTAAAAAAAAAAACCCCAATATTTTATGACAAGTTCATCCCTGTACATTTTGTTATTTTATAAGCTATCCTTTTAAATTTCATTCGTAGTACACTAAAACACATTAGGAATTATTCAGCCATTTGGCTCATCTATTTTGAAGAAGAACTTGATATAACCCAATAGTTAAAACAAACAAACAAACAAACAAACAAACAGAACCTTACCTCCTGGCTGAGCAACTGGATTAATAGTGAAAACCCAAGGGAGGGGGGTAGTTTACCTCAAGAAGTAGGCAATTCCAGCATCAAAGGAGGCAAACCAAAAAAATATCAGGTTCTTCAAATAGAAGAGCCAAATGGCTGAATAATTCCTAATGTGTTTTTGTGTACTATTAATGAAATTTAAAAGGATCGCTTATAAAATAACAAAATGTACAGGGATGGACTTGTCATAAGAATATCAGTTTTCATTTATGCGTTATAAATATATGACTAAAAACAATAGTGAGAGCACACTTTAATTTTTAAAATTATAGCGTGTAATTTTCAAAATTGAATTAATGAAATCATAAAATTGTAGATCTGGAATAGCCTGCAAATATCATATGACTTAAACCTTTAATCAGGATAATAAAAATAGTCTCCATTAATTAGAGTGTTTACTATGTGCTAGGCCTGGTGCTCAATGCTTTCCATAAATGTAATTTTAATTATTATAAAATTATTATTCCCATTTGCACATGGAAAAAAATAAGGCTCAGAGAATTTATGTAAGTTGCCAAGGTTACATAGCCAGGAAATGAGAACCGATACAAACCTGGGCAGGGTAGGGGATGAGAGCTAAATACAAAATGCAAAAACTTCTGCATTTGACCTATGTGAACCAGCAGGAACCAGATTTACCCTCCCTCCTAAACAAGTAAACCATTGGGAAAAAGATAGAAAACAATGGTTTGAAGACACTAGATATCAAACAATGATTCTTATAGATGAGAGACAAATGAGGTGAATTATGTGATTGCCCAGACTTCGTTCCTTGAAAGAAACTTAAGGCCACAATACAGCAAGTGTGAATCTAGGTAGTTTGGCAGATTCTTCGAGTTGAGGAGACCTGAGAGATCAAGGTGGCTAGAATTCACAGGGTAGTGTTCTCAGGGGAAAGCTGCACACAGAAATAATGCTGGAGATCTACGAAGAGTTCCCATAAAGTATATCCATGGTTAATGCATATGTGTGGGGAAACTACTCAAAGGCAGATAAAGACCCATGAAAAGACTAAAGGGGAGTACCAAATGCTCACACATGGCCAGACTGGGAAACTTATAATTTATAGGGCACTGGGTAAAGTTCTCAGAAGAGTTTTGCATCAGCAGTAAGGAAAAATTAGCCCTAGACTAAATGCTGAGCTGATCCTGCCTAACAATTTTCAAAGGAAGAACTAAAAAACTCACGGTGATTCCAATAAACTTAACTGCATCCCACAACAGAGTTCAACAATATTCATAGGAATACAGAAATATTCAGCATCTAATGAGGTAAAATTTACAATGCCTGGCATTCAATCAAAAGTTGCCATTCAAAACAAAACAAAACAAACAAACAAAACAGGAAAACTCATAATGAGAGTAACTCATAATGAGAGAAAAATCAATTAATAAAAACTGACTTAGAAAGGCACAGGTATTAGAATTAGCACACAAAGACATTAAAACAGTTATGATAACAGGATTCCATTTGTCCAAAATCTGGGGGAAAAATTGATCATGTTAAGTAGAGATATGGGAGATATAAAAAAGATCTAAAATGAACTTCTAGAGATGAAAAGAACAATATCTAAGATGAAAAGTACACTAGATGGGATTAATATCAGATTAGACCTTTCAAAAGAAAAGTTTAGTGAAATTGAACACACAGCAATTGAAACAAAAATCGAAAACTCAAAACAAACAAACAAGAACATCAGGGAGCTATGAGACAAATTTAAATGGACTAATATATGCATATTTGGAATCCC